GTGTCTAACGTTGTTACTGCTTGTTTCAGAATGTTCAGAGAACATTAAAGTAACGTTCCTTTAATGCTTGCAAAATGATCAAATGGAATGTTCCGTTAACAGTAGTATAATCAAGAAACAAAAATGAATAAAACATTTATAATCACATCTGACTCTCTTTATTTCTTCAAAAGAACATAAAAGAAGAATGTTTGGAACCAAACAACACTGGAACACACCGACTTTCACCATATGGACAAAAACACTGGAACATTTCTTCTTTAGTGATTCACAGAAGAACAAGTCATAAAGGTTTCAACAACATGAGGGTTGAGGGAGCAAATGATGAACTGTACCTTTAAGAGGCAAGAGATATAAAATCCATGCAGTTTGTAAAGTTTCAGAGTGTTTGGTTGAAGGTTTCGGGTTTGATTCACATGATCACAGACGCTGAAAACAATAAATGCTCGTTAAATGAAAGCTGTGCATTCAGGAATCCTCGTTTCTCATCCTCTCTCAGCTTTCTATCCATGCAAACCTATATCTGTGCAAAAGCAGCGACAAACTCATGATTAAAAAATGATCTCTGCCAGCAAGCACTCATCACACTCACGCATTTTAATCAAAAAGCTGATTTAAACATTGTCTAATGAATGCGAACCGTGTTTAGCCTGTGCATTCAATGCATCTGATTACATAACGAGAAGAGATGACGTCTAACGAAATGTGCCTTTAACGCATCATTGCACTCAATAAACGCTGATATTTGTATTGAGTGTCTCACTGAACGAACAGCCGAAAAACTCTAAAACACCAAAACATATGCACAGAATATTCCACTTCAAGCGCGGCGGAGGAGCCAATTAAAAGTGCTGGAAAGTTTCTGACCACCACACTTAGGCTTAATTAAAGGATTCGCAGGTGTCGTGTGAAATAATTGCTGTACGTTTCTGTTTCCTACACTCCATCTGTTCTCTCACGCACACAGAAAGCTCTCGGTTCGAGGGCACTTATTATAAATAATAAAATGAAATATTTGAATGAAATGAAATACAAATGTATATAGGAAGGTTTTCTTGAGCATTCACATAAGGTTGCAAAATTTAAATCACAATATGATTTATTATTATTATTCATTATTAACTTTTTTAAATTATTACATTTATTATTAATTATTAACTTTTTTTGTAATGGGGGAAAATAATTTCCAAATATTAAAATACTTTATAAAAAAAATAAATTTTTGAATGGAATTAAATATAAATGTATATAGGTTTTCTTTAAATTCATATAAGGTTGCAAAATTTAAAGCACAACATGATTTTTAAAATTATTAATAATTAACTTTTTTTTAAAACTAATAAATGTATTATTACTTATTAACTTTTTGCATAGAGGGAAAAAATCGCTGAATATGAAAATAATTAAAAATAATAATAAAAAGGTTTTAAGGTGTCCTTGTTACAGTGTAATTACACATTTAAGTACTGAGTAATATTAATTAACAACATGTACTTACTATGTGGCTAGGGTTAGGATTAGGGTTTGGTTCAGGGTTACTTGCATGTAATTATGCATAATTTATTGTTATTATAATAGTAAGTACTCGTAACATGTGTAACAAGGACAGCTTAAAATAAATTTACCCAACTAAACAATATGTTATTTTAAAACACTATTCAGATTCTTTTATTCAAAGTAACCATCCAAAGAGGATTTAAATTGATATGAATGTAATTGTTAAAACTGTATCAATTTATTTGTTAGTTGTTTTAGTAACTATTTGGTTGTGTTTGGAGTTCATCGTCTTCTCTGTGACAGGCCGTGTTGCTGTTGTTAACTAAAACTAAAATTGAGTTTGATAACTGAAATAAAGCTGAAATAAAATAAAATATTGAGTAAAAAAAAAAGGAAATTAAAATTAGAATTTTTGCCTTGGCGACTAACTGAAAATAAGTTTGAGCTGAAGTACAAAAACTACTAACTACAAAAATAAATGCATACATATACGGGTCAAAGACGTTAAGATGTCCGCATCAAAATAAATTTACAAAAGTGATTTTATGTCCATAGAAAGCACATTAAATGTAAGTAAAGTGTCTACTTTTAAGGTTTTAAAATAGTTTTTGGAGGATAAAATGTTACAATTTGGTTGAAATAATGTTACATTGTCATACAATATGTATGTAAAAATTCAAACAACATGCTTATTCTGACGTGTACATATTAAAAAATATATAAAAGAATGAGTGAGCATATTACATTTTATTTGGGTTTTAAATTAGTAAAAAATTCTTACTGACAAATGGGCAAAACCTAGGATAGTGGCACATTTTAAAAATGTAAAATTACAGCTAATTATTATTTGGGGTGAAAGTAATTAGTCTTTTAATATGCCATAAATTGATTTTTGTTGTAAATATGCCTGACGAGATTGTTTCACTGAATGACATTTTAGTGCGTCTCTTCTGTAAATCAGGGGAAAATGTATGATATTTATATTTTGCTCAGAAACACAAAAACAAAACTAAATTAAATTAAACAGAAAACGTTTTAATTTTTTGGGGGGGGAAACAACAACAATTTAAAGCAGTATTACACTTATTGTTTTTCTGCTTAAACCCTTTTTCTTCTTTGACCCACATACATAAAAACTCCAACACTGAATGCACGTGTGTGTCTAAAAGCAGATCATCTGAGCTGCTCTCCTCCACATTCATCTTTATTTTTGCTGAAGGAGTCTCCAGAGCACTGTTGCTCTCCTCTCACACGCCTGCTTTATTTGATTTACAGGCCGGAATAATAATAATAATACAGCCGCCACTAGATGTCAAATATCCTGCAGTGCTTCTATAATTGGATTAAAGGCCAGAAACTCTCTGTTCAACATGAACACCTGAGATGAGTCAAATCCACCGCATGAGAGAGAGCTGATGGAAACAGTGCTGATCGGGTTTAGTTGGTCTGGTTAGGGGGTTAAAGCACTGGTAACTAACACACACTAACTAACACTTTGTGCATCAATCAATCAATCAAAGCTGATTGCGCCTCCATGCACTGCGCAAATAAAATACAGCACACTGAATCACAGACAAAACACCATTTTGCTTAATTAAAAAAAAATATATATATATAAAAAATTTAATTAAATCGCAACATGATCTTTATATTATTTATTATTACATTTTGTCAATGGATAAATTTACTGTCAATTATTATGTTTTTATTTTTGGAATAGGAAAAATAATTGAATTCTAAAATACTTGCTTAATAAAATATAAATATTACACGAAAACCATGAACAAAATGATATTGAAAAAAAAGTTGAAGTACTAAAATGGCTAAAACTGAAAAATAAATACATTAACGCTAAATATTTCCAATAAATAAATAAATAAAAATGTCAAAAGTTATACTAAAATAACAATGAGCACAGATGGATGATGAAGTGCAATGTTCCAGGCTGCAATTCACAGAACTAGATGTTTGTATGTCAATCAATCAATCAATCAACCAATCAATCAGAAACTGAACACAAACACTGAAACCTGAGCTGATCTACAAACAGCCAATCAGATCTGAGGAACAGAACTAACTGTTGAATAATGTATCACAGGTGTTTACCAGCGTCCAATCAGAACACAGAATCTGAACCTCTGCTTTGATGAGCTAAACATCTACAAAAGCACAGAAAGCTGTGAAAATCTCACGTAATAAGAGCTGATTATGAACAGAGAGAATTTACATGGAGGGCAAAATAAAAACATTTCAAAGAGCTAATGATCAAATGGAGAATCTCACAAAGGAAGATGAAACTCATGGAAATGAGAATCAGATCAACAAACGAGCGAGTTTCTCACCAAAGGTTCTCCAGAAGTTTCTTGGAAATCTCTTTAATCCCACACAAACTCAAACTCCTGCATTCAGAACAACACATGAATATTAACGTGTTCATCCACACGGACCGGAGCTAAAGAGACTCAAACTGACTGGATTAATTAATTCATTCCTCATATATTTATTTAGGCTTAGTACTATTTTGAACAATGTCTGAAACTCTGTATTATGAGCACTTCTCGTGTTTATTTGCCTCTTTATGATGAATCGCTTGCTGTATTCCTCACTTGCGAGTCACTTTGGATAAAAGTGTCTGGTAAATAAACAAATATAAACGTAACCATAACACCATATCAGCATCAAAGGGTATATTCATGGCAAACTCACAACAACATTTCAATTAATTGTGCACAAAAATGTAACTATTATCTCAACAAACAAACAAAACAAAAATATTAGAAAGAAAGAATTTGTAGATTATTGCTGCTGCTGCAATACAGTTCTGTGAGTATTTAAGACATGCTGCTGCTGCACAAATAGCATATATAATAACCCGTAGCAGATCTATACAGGTGGAGCTGGGGAGGTGGAGGGATTCAGAGGAACTCTCAAAGCATGCTGCAAAATGCTCAATTGGATGCTAACCAGACATTTAAATGTAAAGCTGCAAGTAAATGCAGATAGAATGATCACATTTGTGGCCCTGCAGCACAAAAGCAGTGTTAAGTCGCTGGGGTATATTTGTAGCAATAGCCAACAATACATTGTATGGGTCAAAATTATACATTTTTCTTTTATGCCAAAAATCATTAGGATATTAAGTAAAGATCATGTTCCATGAAGATATTTTGTAAACTTCCTACCGTAAATATATCAAAACTTAATTTTTGATTAGTAATATGCATTGCTAAGAACTTCATTTGGACAACTTTAAAGATGATTTTCTCAATATTTAGATTTTTTTGCACCCTCAGATTCCAGATTTTCAAATAGTTGTATCTCAGCCAAATATTGTCCTATCCTAACAAACCATACATCAATGGAAAGCTTATTTATTCTCAATCTCAATTTCGACTTTGACACTTAAGACTAGTTTTGTGTTCCAGGGTCACATATATCTGTTTTACAGCAGTGAGTGTGTGTCTTCTGCGGATCTGAGGGTTATTAACGAGGAATAAACTCACCGAGCACGGAGAGCTCGCAGGGCGCAGAGATGTTCTGCTGTTTGTTGTGAGCGACGCAGGTGTATGTTCCCGAGTCGTCGTCTGTGACGCTGCTGATCAGAAGGTTGCTGGCGCTCAGGAGAGAGTATTTCTTTGATCTGACGGAGAAGCAGACACAGAGACACCATCAGACTCGACAGACGCAGCAGAGATGAAGAGAAAATAGAGTCGCTGCTCTCGTCTGACGATAACAGAAGATTATTAACATACAGATCAGCTGATGTTAGAGTTTAGTGATCAAATACACTACAGAACCATTCAAAAGGTCCATACGGAAATGTAATATATGATATATATCTCCCCAAATCAAGAGTGATATTGCCATATATACATTCTCTTTCAACAGTGAAAATTGTTCATATGTTAAGGATGTTTGTATTATATGTAGCAACCATATGTCAACAATATATTATAATAACTTATGCATGTTTATTAAAACAACATATATACAAACAATCTGAATGTTTACATGTTTTTGTAATAGATTTTTAAAATCTTTTACAATTATTAGCATGTATTGACGGTTTTAAAATGGATATACATGTACATGACATTTATGTCCAAAAATGTGTTACACATACATATTTGCATGGGCTAGATATGTATGTGTTAACACATAAAACGGTTCCAAATTCTAATAGGTTTCACATATATTTTTACATCATATGACAATATATTTTTATATATGGAAATTTAATATATGCACATTTAAGGGGCAGACAATTTCCGGTATACTTTCTTTAAGTTCCAGAAAATTTTCAAACAAAAAAAAAAAACAATCCTGGAAAGTTACCAAAATATCTAGAAATTTTCCAGAAATCTATTTTTTCTTCTTTAAAATATATTCAAAAATAAATAAATAAAATAAATAAATAAATTTAAATTAAATATATAAGCTTTGACCACATAAATAAATTACATTTTACAACATATTCACATAGAAAACAGTTATTTTCAAATATAATAATATTTCACTGTTTTCAATGTATTTTTCATCAAATAAATGCAGTCTTTGGTGAGCAGAAGAGACTTTTCTGACTCTTAAAACATAAAAAAATTCTTACCGACCCCAAAGTGTTAAGCAGCAGTGTAGATATAATGTAATTCAGCAGCAGTTTATGATGATGTTTGTGCTGATCTGGTGGGTCAGTGATGTGTTTCTCCTCACCTGCTCTGGATCAGCTCGTCTCCTCTCATCCAGTAGAAGGATGGGGTGGGATAGCCGGAGGCGGAACATTCTAGAACCGCATCTCTGCCCTGTAGAGCCGTGACCTTCTGAGGCCTCTGGAGGAACGTCAGCGCTCGCGCTACTCCGGGCTCTGCACACACACACACACACTAGATTATACACATGCATCTGATTGTTTATTCTCGCCATCAGCACCATACACACACACACACACACACACACACACACACTCTCTCACACACACACACACACAGACATCACACACACATCTCACACACACACACACGCAGTTGCTCGTCTAGTTGCATGTCTGTGACCTCTGAACGTTCAGCTCAAACGGTGCAGTGTTCATGTCCTGAAGCCTGCAGCATCGTTTCCTCCCAGAATGCTCTTCTTTAGCCGTCTCTCCCTCCAGAGACGCTTCCTAACGGCCCTGAGCCAAAGATCCAGCATCATGCGGACAGATAACAACCCAGACAGCTCTGGCCGGAGGGGATTCCAGCGTTTCTCTTGATTCTCTAGCCCTGCACCTGCTGTCTGAGAGCGACTGAGACGAGTAATAAACGCAGGAGGAACACATCCAGACTTGAGAGTAAACTGTGATTCCTCAATCCTCATCTTTGCTGGTCTTGGAGCAAAACTCTGACAAGCCATCATTTATTAACATTCATGAAATAAATAGAAGCCGAAACTTGAGATGGAGTTTTCTTCAAATGTCTTATTACACCGAATGTGTTGTTGTTCATCTAGATGCTATAAATGTCACCAGTCTAACTAACGATCACAGCAGGGTTTCTGTTTCTCACGACAGAGAAACCAGCTCCTGAACAGCAGCACTGAGATATGAACACAAATACAGCCTGTGTTTACATTCACATGTAGAGAGTGTTTCCAGCCCAAAAACCCTAAAAGGAATAGTTGTTTGTGTTTGGGGAACAGATTTGTAGAAATGTAGCATTGCATCAGTGTCTCAGCAATGGATGCTCTGCAGTGAATGGGTGCCGGCAGATTTCTCTCCTGATTCACACCAGAACACTTTTTCACTGGAGGAAGCGTTATTATGGATTATAGACTCAATGTATTTTAGTTAAAAACGTCTTAATGCTGGATGTGTTTCAGCTTTTGTCTTCTCCAGATGTTAACTGATGGACTGGAGTGCTGTGGATTACTTGTGGATTATTGTGATGTTTTTATCAGCTGTTTGGACTCTCATTCTGACGGCACCCATTCACTGCAGAGCATCCATTGCTGAGACACTGATGCAGTGCTACATTTCTACAAACCTGATGAAGAAACAAACTCATCCTAATCTGGTATGACCTGACCTGACCTGGCTGAACTGTTCCTTAAATGTCCATTTTCTCCTGATTTTGAATTGTGATTTGTGAGCTTGTTTCATGCGAGTGTTAGTTTAGAGTATAAACGAGATGCTGGTGATGATTCGAGTGAAGGTCTCGAGTCATTAGCAGGACGCTGAGGTTTCTGGACTCAAACACGACTAACGAGTCATTGATTCTCGTGCATCGATCAACAGAAATGTCAGCGCTGCAGAAATCATTCAGAATCCTCACAGAAAATGACAGACTGATATTTGAGCTCCGATACCTGCTGCTGGAAAACAAGCACTTCTCCCAGAAACGACAACACTAATAATGAGTGAGGAAGAACCCAGTGCATTCTGGGACACGATACACAGAGACAGAGAGACCACTGACACACACACACACACACACACATACACACACACACACACACACACACACACTCACACACACACTCACACTCACACTCACACTCACACTCACACTCACACTCACACTCACACTCACACTCACACTCACACTCACACTCACACTCACACTCACACTCACACTCACACTCACACTCACACTCACACTCACACTCACACTCACACTCACACTCACACTCACACTCACACTCACACTCACACTCACACTCACACTCACACTCACACTCACACTCACACTCACACTCACACTCACACTCACACTCACACTCACACTCACACTCACACTCACACTCACACTCACACTCACACTCACACTCACACTCACACTCACACTCACACTCACACTCACACTCACACTCACACTCACACTCACACTCACACTCACACTCACACTCACACTCACACTCACACTCACACTCACACTCACACTCACACTCACACTCACACTCACACTCACACTCACACTCACACTCACACTCACACTCACACTCACACTCACACTCACACTCACACTCACACTCACACTCACACTCACACTCACACTCACACTCACACTCACACTCACACTCACACTCACACTCACACTCACACTCACACTCACACTCACACTCACACTCACACTCACACTCACACTCACACTCACACTCACACTCACACTCACACTCACACTCACACTCACACTCACACTCACACTCACACTCACACTCACACTCACACTCACACTCACACTCACACTCACACTCACACTCACACTCACACTCACACTCACACTCACACTCACACTCACACTCACACTCACACTCACACTCACACTCACACTCACACTCACACTCACACTCACACTCACACTCACACTCACACTCACACTCACACACACACACACACTCTCTCTCACACACACACACACACACACACACTCTCTCACACACTCACACTCACACACACACACACACACACTAAATGAGGAGATTCCATCGAATTCTATTGTATTTTTAATACTAACACTAACAGAAAACTTTCTGCATTTTTACCATTAAAAAAATATATATATATGTATATATTTGTTTTGTAAATATCATTTTTTACAAATAAGTAGATCCCCCAAAGGACGTTTTTCTGAGATTTTGTAAGGTTTAGCTCACGTCTGGGTACACATTTGTGGATTATACACATTAACACGGTTATTTCATATACTGTATAAATCATACCATTTCATATTTTTTTATATGTTTTTTTTTTTATTAATGGCCAAAGTAAATATATAATAAGTGTTTCATATATAGAATGACTTGAAATTGTTTCATAATTGACAAACTTTGCAACACTGACACTGTTTTTGAACTGAACTGAATCAGCATTGATCTAAATAATGACTATTGTCTTCAGTAGAGCTGCTTTACAGATTAAATTTGAAATAATTTCATAATTCACCTTTATTTCTACAGCGCTTTATACAATAGTTTATTTCAAAGCAACTTTGCAGTAATACACAGGAACATTTGTAAAAAGTTGTAAAATTAATCAATTATGAAACAAATTTAAGCTTTAACCACATAACAGAGTCATTATTCAGATCAATTCAGTTCGATTCAGATTCAGTTCAGTTTAGTTCAGTTCAAAAACATTATCAATGTTTCAAAGTTCATCAATTAGAACTGAATAAAATGAACAAAATACACATTAATCGTGATTGTTTCATGTATAAAGTGTTTTTGCATTTCTGACCAAAGTAAATATATCATGAGTGTTACTTTTCACATAAAATGACTCATTTGATGGTGTTTCACAATTGATGCAACATTGAACTGAATTGATCTGAATAATGACTCTATTGTCTTCTGTAGAATCTGAATTTGTTTCATATTTGATGAATTTTGCAACGTTAACACTGCCATTTTCCTGTTTATCTCTGTGAATCTGCTTTGAATGCATCCGTATTCAGTGAAGTGCTGTATGAATGAAGGTGGCCTGACTCTTCCTGGTGAGTGAGTCAGAAGCAGAAGTTAGTGGAGGTCAGCGGGTCACTAGTTAGTGGAGGTCAGGTGGGTCACTAGTTAGTGGAAGTCAGGCAGGTCACTAGTTAGTGGATGTCAGGTGGGTCACTAATTAGTGGAAGTCAGGCGGGTCACTAGTTAGTGGTGGTCAGCAGGTCACAAGTTGTGGAGGTCAGCGGGTCACTAGTTAGTGGAGTTCAGGCGGGTAACTAGTTAGTGGAGGTCAGCCAGTTCACTAGTTAGTGGAGGTCAGCAAGTTAGTGGAGGTCCGGTGGCTCACTAGTTAGTGGAGGTCAGCGGGTCACTAGTTAGTGGAGATCAGCGGGTCACTAGTTAGGGGAGGTCAGCGGGTCACTAGTTAGTGGAGATCAGCGGGTCACTAGTTAGTGGAGATCAGCGGGTCACTAGTTAGGGGAGGTCAGCAGATTACTAGTTAGTGGAGGTCAGCGGGTCACTAGTTAGTGGAGGTTAGGCGGGTCATTAGTTAGTGGAGGTTAGGCGGGTCATTAGTTAGTGGAGGTCAGCGGGTCACTAGTTAATGGAGGTCAGCGGGTCACTAATTAGTGGAGGTCAGTGTGTCACTCACCCGGTATGACGCGCAGGTCGGCGTCTGTGCCAGTGCGGGAGCTGCTGGGGTTCTCCGTCAGACAGCGGTACGTGGCCGAGTCCGGCGGCTGGATCCTGCTGACCTGCAGAGATCCGGAGGGCAGGATGACCACTCTGCTTTCGGGGTCAAAGGTCAAGGGCAGGTCCTCCCTGTTCTTCTGCCAGCGCACCACGGGCATGGGCTCGCCCGTCACCTCGCAGCGCAGCAGAGCCGTGTCGCCCAGATGAGCCGAGATCGACTCGGTGGGGACGACCACGCGCAGAGGACCTAAGGGAGAACCACACCAGAGAGAGAGAGAGTTAAATGCATTGCGATGCCATGCGCTTACATTTGAATGCAGCAGATGCACAGGAGATTTATTCATTTATTTATTGTTTAACAGAGACATTACAGAACAGAAGAGTATTGAGCAGCTGATGCTTCTCTCTCAGAGCTGTGAAAAACAATGAATAAAAAAAAATTATAAATGAATGAATGGAAGAATGGAAGAATAAATAAATAAATAAATAATAAAATTATTGAATAAAAAAATTACGTAATAAAAATTAGAATAACATGAATTGTTGGTACAAAAACTGACAAACCATCTCAAATTTAAAACACAGAGATAAAAAAATTATAAAAAAAAAAAAAAGACAATGAATGGATGAATAAATAAATAACAACTAAAATAACCAAATAATTAATAACAAATAAAATAAATAAATTGTCGGTACAAGAAAGAAAGGAAGAAAGAAAGAAAGAAAGAAAGAAAGAAAGAAAGAAAATTATTTTTTAAATAAATTTATAAGTTATTTCTCAGTGAAACACCAAAGTTTGTTGAGCCTTCAAAATGTGTCTTCACATTATCTTATGATATCTCCTAATGTATACCTTTTGGCTTCAATAAAATTTCCCCAAGAAACAGGTAAGAATGAACAGTCTGTCCACCGTGATTTCTGTTCTTTCGACAACAAAGCACTTGAACAGGCCAAACTCATGAAGGCAGCATCAGAATGCGATGAAGTTCATGAATATTGTTATGTTAATGTGATTATGCTGATAATTAGACTCATATGTCTGTGTAACGTGTGCGGTGGCTCAATCGCTCATGCTAACTGTGTGTGTGTGTGTGTGGGTGTGTGTTTACGGTCCAGCATCACAGCAGCTCACACGGGAACCACACTTATTCCAGAATGTGCTGCCGGAGTCGTATCGCCGTGATTATTGTTAACATCGTTCCCTAACTGCCTCCAATTACAGTCAGCAGCGCACTAGCAGCCGGCGGACAAACACACACACACACACACACGCACTCGCACTCGCACTCGCACTCGCACTCGCACTCGCACTCGCACTCGCACTCGCACTCGCACTCGCACTCGCACTCGCACTCGCACTCGCACTCGCACTCGCACTCGCACTCGCACTCGCACTCGCACTCGCACTCGCACTCGCACTCGCACTCGCACTCGCACTCGCACTCGCACTCGCACTCGCACTCGCACTCGCACTCGCACTCGCACTCGCACTCGCACTCGCACTCGCACTCGCACTCGCACTCGCACTCGCACTCGCACTCGCACTCGCACTCGCACTCGCACTCGCACTCGCACTCGCACTCGCACACGCACACGCACACAGACACACACACACACACACACACACACACAGCTGTATGTAACCTCTGATTACTGCCACAGAACATCAGCGACGTCAAACCTGGAAACAAGAAACAGACTGAGGCTGATATACAGTATATGATCATCACTTACAGAAACACACGACTGCAATCATCAGATCACAAAACCAGCAAATCAGCATATTAGAATGATTTCTGAAGATCATGTGACACTGAAGACTGGAGTAACGATGCTGAAAATACAGCTGCGCATCACAGAAATAAATTACAGTTTAACCGATATTCACATAGAAAACTGATGTTTGAAATTCTAATAATATTTTACAATTTTTACTGTATTTTTGATCAAATAAATGCAGCCTTAGTGAGCAGAAAAGCCTTTTTAAAAACTTTTCCAGCATCTGAACCCACTTTGACCTACAGCAACACACACACACACACACGTTATGAATGTGCTGAATGCGAGCATTTCCTCTGCTGATGAGAGACATACTGCGGCCTGTGATTACAGAGCTTCATTATCTGCTCTCATTAAGAGGGTGTTCATATGCAAATGAGTGGGGAGAGCGTTTAAATCTAATTAACACAGAGATAAAAATGAGGAGGAATAATTCTGCTTCTGCATTCCCAAAATAGAGCGAGAGAATAGGATGATGATGCCACGGGAGAGAGAGAGTGAGAGAGAGAGAGTGAGAGAGAGAGAGGGAACGAGTGAGGAGACTCAATTGACTCCTACAATCTTCCCTCATGTTGAAGGTGATGTAAATCATTTCAGGTGTTTTACTAGCTTCAGCTTTTCTTCAAAACTCACATCAGTAAACTCTGAAAAACAGTTCTGAATAAATTAAAATACAACCAAATCTGTATCTACAGGATGACGGACAGTCAGAGACAGTTTCTGATTGGCTACACAAGCACTGGCCACTCCCCCTGACACTCCAGTGCTGGTCAGAGTCAAACACACAGATAGTAGCCACAGTTTGTGAGAAGTATTCTAAAAAAAATAATAATAAAATAAATAAATACAAATGTAAAAAATAAAATATAATAATAATGTGATAATGTAAAAAAAAAAACAATAAAATAATAAAATTAAAAAGGTGAAAAAATATAAAAAGTTAATTAAAATAAAATAAATAAATAAATAAAATAAAGTAAAAAAGAAATGAAAAGTAAAATAAAATAAAAATGCAATAATTTAATAATAATAATAATACTAAAATAAAACATTAATAAAATAAAAACTAAAGCAAAATAATAATATATAAAACAATAAAAAAATGGAAAATAAAATTAATCAATTAAATAAAAGCTAAATGAAACTAACTGAAAATTAATGCATTACATTAAATTATTAAATGAGTGTTCTTTTCCTCCAGTGTTTCTTGCTGAAGCTGATAGAGGAAGAAGATGGATGATGAAGGCTAAGATCTACACTCATAACGTCCACCTGCACATTTGATTCATTTGTCATGAATCAGAGAGATGGAGAGTTTGATTCTCTGACGTTCCCGGACTCATGTTCAGCAGCACATGTAACACGCATCATTAAAGCGTCTCTGAACACGAGCGCTGCAAATGTCACAGACCCTGAGTCACCGTTCACTTCCGTCACAGACGTTCAGAGCTTCTCTACAGCTGTTTGCATCTCTTCATTTGTGTCTGCTTTCATTACAGCGACTCCATGTGAGAATAACCTTCAGCAAAAGCCGTATTCAATATGCTGAAACATTTGCAGGCAGTCTGCCAAAATGACAGCTTGTGGAATGTTTTACTCTATGATGTAATAGTGTGGATAAGCACCACCTCCGCAGAAGATGATTAACGCCTGCTTCAACATCGCTGCCTCTTTAGCCCCGCCCACCGATCTACATCACTGCTCGTTTAGTACCGCCCACCGATTCTACATCACTGCCTGTTTAGTACCGCCCACCGATTCTACATCACTGCTTGTTTAGTACCGCCCACCGATTCTACATCACTGCCTGTTTAGCCCCGCCCACCGATTCTACATCACTGCATGTTTAGCCTCGCCCACCGATTCTACATCACTGCCTGTTTAGCCCCGCCCACCGATTCACGCATGTAGTGTAAATAGAAAGAGAGACAAACCGAAGATGCTCCGAAGACAACAAGACGCTGTTCAGTGCCAAGCTGTGGAAACAACAGTCTTTGCATTGACTTCCTTCTGATCCTAACGTTAGGAAAGAGTGAATTAACTTTATTTTTAATGAAGTTCCACGTCAGTAAGAACTCGGTCCTTTGTTCACTTCATTTTACCGCGGATTCGTTTACAAACAAGGCACAATTCAACACGGGATTTTCAAAAAGACTGAAACTAAAAGACGATGCTGTGCGACTATATTGGATCCGACAGTAATGTCACAACACACACGTGTGAGTAACTGTTTTCATTACATGATCACTATTGCTTTGTCTCTTCTCACAAATCGTTTGATATGTACCGAGTTATTTGAGGGTTTTTAACCGAAATCACAGCAGCGTCCATCTGTGAGGAATTTACGCTGTCAATCATACACAACTATTATTAGCCAATCACAGCAGTGGGCGTTTACTTTATTATTTATTTCATTTATTACTTAATAAATGAATAAAAAGAAAATAATTACAATCTAATTATCATCAGGAAGGTCACGGTGGCACAAAGTCAAACAAACGACACTCTTTGTATGGCTGTTTAACAGTGATTTCTGTCTCCTTTGTGCCAGTATGTTATTGAGTCGACACAAAGGCCAGGACCCTCGCAGACTAATTAAGCTCTTCTTCTTAAGCATGCAGTCTAATGACCCACAATGCTTTGCTGCAGAGCAGCGGCCGCTCACCTGCGTCTCTCTGCTGATCACCGAGCGTTTCTGCGGTCGCTGCTCTGCTAATTAGACATGCGGCGGCTCGTAATCCGTCAGTGGTGTTCGTTACGCTGGGCCTCATTAGCAGAGCTGAGGGACGCTGCTGTATGCAAACCAATTCAACAGGAAGTCAAAGACGGATTCAGTCCATTTATATATATATATACATATATATATATATATATATGTGTGTATGTGTGTGTGTGTGTGTGTGAGTGTGTGAGTGTGAGTGAGTGTGTGTGTGTGTATGCAATTTTAGCTAGTTGCAAAAGCAAAATTTCGCATCTTATCTCATCTTTCTTTGTTTAGTTTAACTTGATCTACTAAAACTGAAATAACTAAAAAATAAAGAGTAACTTCAAAATAAAATTCAAATGAAAACAAATAATGTAACAAAAACTGAAATATATTAGTAAAATATTTGTCAAAATACTTTCAAATATTCAAAAATATTATAATATATATGCATGAATAACAACACCATAACAACACGGTAACAACACAATAACAACACAATAACAACACCATAACACCATAACATGATAACAACACGATAACAACACAATAACAACACCATAACAACACAACACAACAACAACACAACAACAACACCATAACAACACCATAACACGATAACGACACCATAACAACACCATTACATGTTAACAACACAATAACAACACCATTACATGTTAACAACACAATAACAACACCATTCAACACCATAACACGATAACAACACAATAACAACACCATAACAACACAACAACAACAACAAC